GCCTGCTGAGCTTGGTATTGGGCGAAAAGTCGCGTCGGCAGTACATACAGCAGATAATGACTGGAGACGGCTTGTACCTGATGATGACAAAACCTTGTCGAAACGTTGTACATTTGCTGTTATGTTAAACTTATATAATTACAATTTACTTACTTAATCTACTTCACATCATAACAGTCGTTGTTCATAAACATTGATGATATAAATAGCACCTCAACAACTAAAATGTTGTCGTATCCCAGCTAGCCTGCTGAGCTTGGTATTGGGCGAAAAGTCGCGTCGGCAGTACATACAGCAGATAATGACTGGAGACGGCTTGTACCTGATGATGACAAAACCTTGTCGAAACGTTGTACATTTGCTGTTATGTTAAACTTATATAATTACAATTTACTTACTTAATCTACTTCACATCATAACAGTCGTTGTTCATAAACATTGATGATATAAATAGCACCTCAACAACTAAAATGTTGTCGTATCCCAGCTAGCCTGCTGAGCTTGGTATTGGGCGAAAAGTCGCGTCGGCAGTACATACAGCAGATAATGACTGGAGACGGCTTGTACCTGATGATGACAAAACCTTGTCGAAACGTTGTACATTTGCTGTTATGTTAAACTTATATAATTACAATTTACTTACTTAATCTACTTCACATCATAACAGTCGTTGTTCATAAACATTGATGATATAAATAGCACCTCAACAACTAAAATGTTGTCGTATCCCAGCTAGCCTGCTGAGCTTGGTATTGGGCGAAAAGTCGCGTCGGCAGTACATACAGTAGATAATGGCTGGAGACGGCTTGTACCTGATGATGACAAAACCTTGTCGAAACGTTGTACATTTGCTGTTATGTTAAACTTATATTAAAGTTTTTCTTCATTACCCATTCAAGCCGTCTCCAGCCATTATTACGAATAGTTTGTTTGTAGATAAGCACAAAGCTACACAAAGGGCTACCTGTGGTCTGCCCACCACGGTTTCTAGCGTTGTAAGTGCACAGTCGTACCACTGTGCCACTGGGGGGCTTTCCGGATAATGTCTAAATATATTCAATCTGTTTAACCAGACTTTATGATTTACTGCGCTGGACCTTGCGTCATTGTAAAAGACTTAATATCGTAATACACTTGTTTCATATATATTATGTGGTTTTGTAGTTTACTGAAAATGAGATAGCACCATTTCAAAGTAACAAACGTTGAGCTTCGTTAGCAACAAATCAGAATAAGTAGACAGCGTTTTACTAACTAAATATTCTCAACTGTACTTGTCTTAGTTTCCTTTTTTACAAAATTTTATTTCTAAGCTATTTACTATTTATAATATTTCACGTGTGATCGAATTTTTAAATTAATAAAAATATATAGCATATTTATATACACTGGTACGAGTGTAAGTATATATATATATATATATATATACAAATGCCGGAGAATTCACTGATCGAAACGTTATGAAAATAATAATACACACAATAAAGACAAGAATAACAGTCCGAATAATTATACCATTAGTAATACTAACACATCGTCTTAATCATTTCGCAAAATTATACCTAAATGTTAGATGGTTTTTAGGACAAATATTTTACGATTATATTAACTGTGTCAAATACTTCATTGATCTTCTTATCCATTTAGGCTAGGCGTGCCCTATGGTTATCGTGTACATAATGTGAATCCAAGGGCGTATGTTCTGCGGCGTGTTGTTGATGTGCTCTATAATGTTGATGGTTAAATTACTTTTTTAGGTCAGACAAAAGCAGCCCAATAGTTGGCGGTGGGTGATGATAACTAGTTGCATTGTCTCTAGTCTCTCAATTTAAAATTAGGGACGGCTATGCGTAAATAGTCTTTTTTTTTGTATCTCTGCGCGAAAATTCTGATAAGTATTATTAATTGAAGGATTTTACGTAAGTGCACATCTTAATGAATAAGTATGTAATTTAGTATCGAAAGGATTTGTATTTCGCGTTTCATAATTGGGGACAATAGTTATGAGGTACATTAATTTTACTGTTAACTTTTAGCACTCTTGAGATTTAAATGCATCACACAATATAAAGAAGCCTTAAAAGCTATGACGTAAGTTAATTTTTTTTTACATTTAACCAATGTTTTATATAAGATGTTATGGAATTTGTGATATTCATAAATATTTAATCTGTTACGTATTCATTTAACCTTTTAAATAAATATGCGGGTGTCAGTTGTTTTCACTTCCTACAGTTTTTGGCCTGCCATGGCCTAATGATTTGAGCACTCGACTCGCAATCTGCGGGTCGCGGGTTCGAATCCACATCACCGAACATTTTCACTTTTTTATCCGTAGGGCATTATAATGTTACGGTCAATCCCATCATTTATTGGTAAAAGAGTAACCCAAAAGTTGGCTGTGGATGGTTTTGACTAGATACCTTCCTTCTAAATACTAAAATACACAAACGAACAACGGTTTATAATACACAATTAAAATCTTTATTTAAGAGATCAAATGAATCCTAAAGTTTCCTAACACTTTTCACTTCACTTAATCCCCTAACACCACCCCACTATTGTGGGTTGCCTTAGGTACATCAGGTCATTTATGGATAAACAAGTAAAATCCAGAAAACAGCCAGTCGCTTTTGTGTATATGCTGCGAAATTCCTGTTAATCTTGTAGTTTCTTAACACCTGTTACTCCATTCTACATGTATCTTTGTTCTTTGTTTTTAATTAAGCACAGAGCTACACAATGGACTATCTGTGCTCTGCCTATCACGGGTATCGAAACTCAGTTTCTAGCGTTGTAAGTCCCCAGACATAACGCTGTGCCGCTGTGGGAACAACATATATAAGTGTGGCTCGGCATGGCCAGGTGATTAGGGCGCTTGACTCGCAATCTGAGGGTCGCGGGTTCGAATCCCCATACCACCAAACATGCTCGCCCTTTCAGCCATGGGGGCGTTATAATGTGATGATCAATCCCACTATTCGTTAGTGAAAGAGTAGCCCAAGAGTTGGCGGTGGGTGGTGATTACTATCTTCCTTCCATCTTTTCTTTCACTGCTAAATTAGGGACGGCTAGCGCAGATAGACCTCGTGTAGCTTTGGGCCAAATTCAAAACAAACACACATATATCAGAGATTAAGATTGTCGCTTAACAAGCTTAAATAACTAAGCCTAGATATTTCTTAAATACTAAAACTCAGCTCTTTAAATCCCTAATCCTGTGTTAACCAGAAGCTTTATGAACGTAACTCCTTCCAAAATCACCTAAAAATTGTAATGAACATTTTATGACACTGATATATGACAATATTAATGTTTAATGACATCAATATCAGATAATATTATTAACTTGGATGATTGAATTAAGTCCATTTTAACCAGTATTTTCCTTACGTTGGAAAAGTGGACATAACTCAGTTGCCCAGAATGTTTTTGTTGTTGTTTTTCCATTAGTCTAATCTATGCTGTTCTAAACTTAAGTGTTTTTGGATTTCCTGAAAAGGAAGGGATGTGTATCACGCAATGAATATGTATTTATTCAAGAATTCGTTTTGGGTGTTTCAAAATATCTTTTTATAATCATGAAATATGGACTGTGCCTAGATATTCCTGTAAAAATAGCTTTTACTATACTAAGGATGCATGAACAGTTTCCAATAGATATATCTGAATTTGGAGATTGTTCAAGCAGCTCAGAATTTTCTTTGCACAAATTCCCTTCTTGAATTATTCATTTAAAAACCACAGTTTTCAAATGGCATGTTTTACATGTCTCTCAGTATCCTCAATTTTATTCAATAGTCTTTCAGTTCGAAACAGTAATTGGCAACCATCTTGTTGTTTTATTGTTAAGTTAGTGGCATATTTTACGTGTAGGTGATTGTCTCACAAGCTTCATTTATATCCTTGTCCCTCTCCTATTATGCCTAAATTTTGCTTCGGGACATTATCGCCCTACATAGGAGGACTCGGTTATCCAAGTTCAGGCCAACGCTCTGATATGTATTGAAAAGATCATCGATAAGTTAGAGAAGACAGACATCTTGGACGAGGTACTCCCAATGCTCAACAAGGCCAAACTTCAGGATCCGGCGATACTTCTGCCGGTAGTAAGTAAGTGGTAATTTTAAGAATGCTAATAGAAGTTTTTGTGTCATTCAGTATCCTCTGCTCTCTGGTTCTACTGGCCTTCAAATACAAATCATCGGTACTTTTTTTTTACTCTACTCATGGGTTTAAATGGCTCTTCAGTGTTGAAATCTTACATTAACATTTTTCCAATCAACTTAGGCCAGTTAATATGTTAATACGATTACACATTGATATTAACAATCAAGAGATCGTTTGGTGAAATTTGCTTTTAATATAATATTAGTTTCAAAATAATTGTCATGTAATGAGTCAGCGGTAAGTTTACAGACTTGTAACGCAAAATTCCGAAGTTTGATTACCCGCGATTGGCAGAGTGCAAATAGCTTATTGTATAGCTTTGTACTGAAACAAACATTTCAGAATAAACCTGTTCAACGACCTATTTGTGGTTCCTTGCAATACATGTTAAAAAATTGTAATTTATTGAGTTTCGCTCCAGTCGCTTCTTAAATGTTTTTTCACAGACAGACTTATACATAAACATATAAAAATCTATGTGCAACATTAATAATGCGCTTATAATTCAACTTTAAACTTCTTAGCCCTCCCGATGGCTAAGCGATAAGTCTGAGGGATTATAACGATAAAGATTTGGTTTCAATACCCATGGTGCACAGAGCACAGATAGCTTATTGTGCATCAATCTTTGCGCTTAACAATAAATAAACAAAACAGAATTTCAGCTGCATAAAAATTAGTTGATTTGGGGAAAAAACGCTATTGTAGAAATTTTATATTTTCTAGAAGCAAACATCACAGATTTTATATTTAATAAATAATATTAAATAATTTGATGGTGATTGGCTACCTACTGAACATTCCAAACCTTACCTCTGTGTGTCAAGGCTTAACTTGAGTGCTATCTTAAATATGTCACTGTGCTGAATATTGCCCCGAAATTTATTTTTTACCATGAATTTCTTGTTCTTCTGCTTCTTTCTTATTACATGATAACTCAAAAATCAAAACAATGGTGTCAACTAATTTCACTGAGATGACATAGTTTCAAACGAAGTATCCGCTTTTATAATTATTATTAATAACTAGTTGTAATTTTTAAAAAAATCACAATTCTAATGTAAACGATGTTATCATTACCCCTTGCAGTTAACTTTGCAAAACAGGAAGTAAATGTAGGGATGGCTAATATCAATATTTCAAAAATATTGCAAACAGGATAGTAGGGATGGCATTTGCATCGCCCCAACATATAGCAATATATATAACTATTCAATAACAATTGAGGTTGATTCATCCTATTTTTTTCTGTTAACATTCTATTACACTGTGTGCAAATGCCATCCCTACTATCTTGTTTGCATTGTTTTTGAAAGATTGATATTAGCCATCCCTACATTTACTCCCATTTTTCTTTCCTTTAAAATATAATGTAGCAGCATGTTATCTATTTTGGACATTATAAGACATACATGTATATTGGCATGTTTACTCTCCAAGTTAATATAAAGGTCGTCAACACTCAAAACCTGTTTTTAAAGTCGTTAAAAATTCCAATTCTTATTAATACATTCAAAGAAAACGTTTGAATGTGCTTTCCATGTCCGTAGAATTAACAAATAACTCATATCCGTTTTTCTTTGCCTTTGTAAGCTACCACAATGTGTATATTGTAGACCACGAAAGATGCACTTTGAGTCATTATTGAATAAAGACAAACAGTCGTCTTGTAATTTATCTGTTAAAAGCTTTGGTTAAATTGAGTTCATGTACGAATATAGAATGAACAGATTTTGTATTTCATACTTAAATACACATAACTTTAATAAGAAGCACAGATCACAATTTATGTAATCTTACGTGTTAATAAAATGACTCAGAGATTGTATAGTTAGGCTTTCTGAAGAACAAATAAAAATTGTTAGTAACCTACACCGACAGACTATATGTATACTACTAAATGATGAATAATAACTAGAGCCACCATCAGGTCTCTGTCGTAAAACACAAGATTCGTTTAAAAACATCCAAGAATTATTTAAATTTTGACAATTTGTGACATGGTAACGTAGCTAAGCTTTACAGATCATAGAAAAATGCATATATATATATATATTGAAGAATAAAGAAATAATTACAAATAATGTTGCTTGGTGTTAGTTAGGAAGCAAATTTTTGAAATGAGCGTTTCATCTTGCTTAGGAATATATAAGCACATGCTCGGAGACAAGCGTTATGGCCTGACAGTTAATCTCCTAGCAACCAAAGTTATGCCAGCTCTCATCCCAGTCGTGGTGAGTCCAGGACTTAAATTAGACCAGGTAACTTAATTTTTATCTAAAGTTTTCGACCAAAATTTTAAAAAAATTCAAGTTCAAAGCACTTTGATTTCTAGAAGAAGAATTCTATACAATAGAAATCACCCGTGAATATAGACTTTTTGTAGTCAATTATGTTTAGAATCTCTTTAGTTAATTGAAGAAAAGCTAATTCTTGTAAGGTGTCTCTCAGATTTTCCAAATTATTTTGATAAAAAAATATTTCTGGCAAACTGTAGTTGAATAGTGACTCTAACAAGTAAGTTGTGTTTCAAGGCTCCATGGGTAATTAAATTAAACGCGTTTTTAGAGTTGTTATTTCAGGTAACAAAAGTTAATTGAATAAAGCTTGTTCTTGGCGGTTTCGTTCTTCTGCATTTTTCAAGGTAAATGGCTATTATTGTGTCGACTTACGATCTTGAGGAATGAGAATAAAAATCGTACTAATATCAGAAAACTAATTAAATAATAAGTCTTATAATTTTATGCTTGAAATAAACTAATGCGAAAGTAAATTTTAATTGTCTTCCTAAACTTCTATCTCCAGAGCAATGAATAGGTCAATGTACTTGAAGTTTGTGGTGCTTGAAATATATTAATTTTCTAAAGGTTTGTTTGATCTTGACTATAAATAAAGTTCTTGTTTTAGTTTACGAGTCTTGTGGAGTTATTGCAAGAGATGCTGGATCACGTCAGCAAAAGTCAAAAGAACAAACTGAAATTAGAGAAACTTTCGATGTCCTCCATGGATAAGTAAGTTCTCTGGTTGAATGTTGTCTTCATATCTATCTCACACAGGGTAAGTATTCTACTCTACCCTTTTAACGGTAACGTACACTAACATTACGTAATGGTACTTCAATGATTACAGCACAATAACACAAGTCAAGTGAATAACATAGAACGATGTTCTCTACTTTTCTAAGTAACTTTAAGTGAACTAAAAGGTGGTCGTGCCCAGAATAGTATAGTTGTAACACGTGTTTTCTGGTATTTATCCGTGTCTTTATATCTAACTTACTAAACCAGTATTCCATTTTTTATTTCTTTAGAATAACATAATATTGTTTTTTAACCTTCAGGAACTCGTCGATCCGAACTATTGAACAGAACACTGGTTATCCACATCGTCCTCCATCTTTACGACTGGAATCTCGTCGAACTTCCATAAGTATGGAAGACGTAATACAACAAACGTGCAATTCAAGTGAGTAAATAAATCGAATAATCCTAAACTTTTGATATTCATGTGAAACATAATTTATCTTCAATTAATCAGATATTTACTAAAGCGACTTTTTTATATTTTATCCTCTTGAATATCACATCAATTCCTCAAGGAACAACTTTCATGGTATCTTATAAATGTTTTTATTGTTATGATGATGTTGTGATTCATTGTAATTTTTTTTACACACTTCACTCTTTTATGACTTGAAGTATACATGGAATTTACCAAGGTTGTATATCAGTTAACTTATCATCTTGTACTCACGATTGTCCAAAATATTAACCTTCATTTCACCACCGCGTAAACTAGGTAATGCAAGCTGTTTTCTAGACATAGGTTCAAGCCTGGGTCAACTAGCTTTGGCGTAAATGGTTTTGAAACTGCAGAATCAGCGCTAGTTAAAGTTTATATGTTATCACAATATGATTTAATATCTTAAGAACAGATGTTATTAATAAATGTAAGTTTTTGATTTATTTTATTTTAAAAGTAACATACAAATCTACAACTCATTTCTTCAAATCACTAACACCAGCTATGGATGAATTTATGTTTTGGAAACTTACGTTCAGAATAGCATAGTACTTACCAAATGAAATGTCAATACAACTTGTGTGTGTGACATATCAATCGGTGGTTTACTTAAATCTAAACACCAATTTATTGAAACCTTTCAAACACTCTATAGACCGTACAGCATGTATTGAATACAAGATATTGGTTGTTACATTAGAACTATTGTAAACAACACATTAACGTGGAGAAGATTAACCCTTCGTATTCAACATGAACAATGAATAATTCTAACACTCCGTTTATGGCAGTTTTCGCGTAAATTTGTTTTACAGCCTCTTATGTACCTAGGTTCGATCAGCATGATCAACAGACTATTCTACAAAAACAAGTTAGTCCAGCAAATCTGAGTAACTCTCTTATTCAGTAACTCGGTAGAATAATATTTGTAAGTGAAATCAAGCTTCACATTATAGAGTATAATCAAAAGTAACATTAATTTCGTGATATTTGGCGAAAGATGTTTTATTTTAACTATTGGAGTATAAGGAAAGAATCATGAAAAAGTTTAACTTAGAAAACATCATATATACGTGTTATCAGAGGTGGAAATGTTTCAAATCATGACATTAAGATCCAGATTCCTAGGGTTATGCTCAAATCAGAGTTTGCTGAGTTGGAAATTGAGTCTCATCCATTTCATATGTTAGGTGTTTATTTGAAAGGAAATAACTTCTCATCAATCATGTCCAGTCAACATTTTAAAGATAGAAAAATAATGGATGAATTGTTCAATTCTATTTTTGATCCTTATGCGTCTTACTGCCTACTTGTGTGAAATCGCTTAATACAGAAAAAGTTAGAATGGAGCTTTTACTCTTTTGAAAAATTCAAAAGCGAGCACTGTAACAGCAACAAGTAAAAATTATATCATATCAAGGAAGTTTCTGAGAAGTTTCGCCTCCCGTAGAAAACGAGTTGTTATGAACTGTACAGTCAATAGGAGTATATATCTGAAAAAACACACACAACAAACTGAAAAAACTTAAAATTAACCATAACAAATAAAATGTTTATCGCGCCTTTCATTACTTATGAATTATTGCCAAGTATAGTATTTTGTTTTTATTCGCTTACTCCCCAATGGCTCAGCGATAAGTTTGCAGACTTACGACGCTAAAATTTGGTTTTAGATACCCGTGGTGTGAAACGCGCAGATAGCTTTTTGCGTAGCTTTGTTCTTAAAAGCAGCTAAACCAAGTGTACTCATTTAATTTGATTTAGAACTGTTTGCTATACAAAATCACGCACGTACGCAGGGGGAGGGGGTCAGCCGAACACCCCATTTTTGTGATGTAAAAAAATGATGCTTATGTAGTTATAGCGCAACTTCTTGTAGTATTTAATGTTTTCTACATAGTCTACATTCTTCTGATGAAGCATTAGCATTTTTTGGCTTGAAATAGTCACAATGGCTTCTGTTGACACTTTGTAGTTGGTGTCTGTGACTTGTTGGTGATAAATTTCAACAATAAACAAACAACACACTGTCCATTTGTTTTAAGATAATATATTAAAACAAGCCAAACATATATACAAATGTTTGTTACATTGTCGATTATCACAGTTGTATCCAGAGCTTTAAATAATTGTCTCTTTTTTCGTCAACGTCCACACAGGCTGAATAACTACCTGAGGTGTACACAAACCGAAGACTGAGTACTCTAGCTTTAATACATAATCATTATGACACTTCTGTCGATAATGAAACTATGTGTAAGTTATTTGTGGAACAGCAATCCAGAAGAATAGAGCATGCTAACATGTTATTTCAGTAGTGCATACATGCACGTATATGATAGGTAATGATTAAAATAACTAATATACTATTGTTTATTTTAAGTGTTTGAGCATCGGGAAGGTGAGTTATATTCAGAGCAGTCTTGCTAATTTTTTATAATTTACCTAATTTTAATGTTTTCAACATAATTTTAGTGTTTTGCATGTATAATAAGAATCAATGCTATTTTATAAGAAAGATTTCCATAGGATAATGCAGTAGTTCGTCATTGCAAATGCGAGTCATGGCGTCATAAGAGACATATTTTGAACCATCAATTTAATTCGTGCCAAGATGCGCACCAATAGAGAATGGAAAGCCATCATGGGTAGACTTATGATTAGAATAATAGCAATAGCCCTATCCAAATAGGGGGCCTGGCATGGCTTGATGGATAGGGCGCTCGACTCGCAATCTGCGGGTAGCGATTTGAATCCCCATCGCCAAACATGCTCGCCCTTTCAGCTGTGAGGGCGTTATAGTGTGACGGTCAATCCTACTATTCGTTGGTAAAAAAGTAGCCCAAGAGTTGTCCGTAGGTGGTGTTAACTAGCTATCTTTCCTCTATCACTGTTATATTAGGGACAGCTAATGCAGATAGCCTTCGAGTAGCTTTGCGCGAAATTTTCAAAACAAAACACGCAAAATATCCCAATAAAGATATTTGAAAAATAGAGCCTTCAGTGTTTTCAATGAACGTAGAAAGAACTTTGTACAGCAGTTGTATCTTTAATAACATTCCAAACCAATCCAGAGCAATATCTTTTTTTCACAAAGTGAATACTATGTTTACGAAAGAGAACCATATGACTCACAAAAAATTATTGTGATGAAGCTAGAAATATCTCCCTGTCTCTTTAATAAGATAACTAACAATGATTTTAAAATAACGAAAGTCGAAATACACAAGCTTCTAATAACACTTAAAATCAAGTTATCTTGATAAAGATGGCTGAAGAAACCTGATTCACGGCAGTCCCATTCGACCACATATATGTCAAGGCTTCCGGTGTAGCTCAAATGGATCTTTAAATCTTTGGTCTACTTAAATATGGTTTTGGAAGGCAATGGCCATCTATAGTGGAATACCTATGAAGCATTTGTCATGATGTACAGCCTAAGAATAACCACGTCATATTTCATAAAAGTTTGTTTCAACAAAAACTGCGATGCTGGTTCTCAACCAGATTAACAAGGAAGTTATTTCCACGGACAGTATATAACTTAAAATATCATTTATTCAAAGTGTGATCAACTTTTAACAATGCTATACGACTTACCAAATAATTTGTCATAGACGTAAGACACAAAAACCACAAATTTCAGTTACAACGCGTTTCATTTCTGGTCTCATTTTATGTCGATTTATTGATATTTGTATCTGGAGATTTTACAAACTACAAAACCTTGTAGGTCTTGACAGGAGTATTTGTAGGAAATTTCTCAGACTGTTTTATGCGTGCAAAAGGAGCTCCCCAACAGGGAGTAATAATGATGCAAGTACACAGCTCAGCTCGTAAAATACATTTACTTTTGGGACAGAGTGGATAATAGATGAACATGAAGTAAGGTTATTACGTATAATACTTTTTATTCAAATTAACAAAGTATATGTTTGGGTTTTTCATTTCCTGATTAAATGCACAAAATGTATCAGAATATGTGTTGCAAATTTGTCTGACTGAAATACAAGAAAGATGTGTTTTATGCTGGCAGTTATATGATAAATGTTTCTCTCTTGGAAACGTTTCAGCTTTCAGACTATTAAATTCTTGAAAGCGTTTGTAATGAAAAATAATACTAATCTTATGATAGTTCTTGGTCACACTTCTACTGACTCTTTTCTTTCTTTACGAACTTTACATTTTTTCCTTATTTATTATATAATATTTACTCCATCTTATTCTTTTATATTCTATCCCAGTACGGTGTATGGAAAGATCTTTTTTCTGTGGATTTAAACTATTTTGTTTCGTAAGAGAAGTTGCCAGCATGTGAAGGATCAACATTGCATTAAGATAAAATAAGTTTTCTAAGCGACGTTGAAATGTTTCTGCTCACTAACGAAAACAGATTTGAAGGTCTAGTCAAACAAATAAAACGAAATCGTATTTTGCAACGTAACCAAAACAATGTTATGGTTAGCTATACCACCAAAGTATAGTATCAACTTTAATTATAATACTCATACAGTTATAGGCTTAGCTGTACAATCAGAATAGAATCTAAAATGTGTATTCAACGTAGATATTAAACTTTTACTATGCAATTAAACCAAAAAGTTATTGTTAAGTTTACAATAAAGGCGATGTTCCACGAACTATATAATTAAATTTAGAGAATCGTTATTTTATTGTATATAAAAGAGTGCTCAATTTAAGGGACCTACCGAAATAGAATTACATCATAATGTTTAACTACAAACACTAAAGGTATACGACAAAAAAAAGAGCATTAGGCTTAAAAAAAAAGAGAAAAAAAATAAAATTCAAGTAAGAAATGTTCATGCAAAACAAAAATAAAATTTAACTATAATTTCTTCAGAATAGTTACATTTTAGATAGATTAACCTAAACCTAAGTTGATACACCTTTATTTTTTAACTTATGTTGCTAAAAATGTA